AAAAAAGAAAGAAAATACGGAGGCGGCATTTTAATATTTTTCACAAGAAAAAAATGACTACTATTCATAATTCCATATTTTAATATTTTTCACAAGAAAAAAGGTGACTATTCATAATTCCACAAAACATAACTATATTTTATCTTTTATACAATTTACTAATCCATTTGAACATGTTTTTGTAAAGTGGTCTTTGTAATAATTTCTTTTTAATATCGATGAAATTCTTTGCTTGACTTGAGATTAAAGAAGGGAGTAATTTAGTGCGTGACTTTGGTATAGTTTTGGAATCTTGGTATTAAAAGAGTATGGCCTAAACTATATATGAGATAAGGTCAAATAAAAATAACATTCATTTGGATTCAACTATTTTGTAGAGTTTTAGTTTTCGATTTACAATAGGAATTTATTTTGCCACATCCAGTATTTTGGATTCGGCAAAATTACAATTTTAGTCATGTTGATTTGTTCCAGTGACGCTTTTAGTTTTAAGAATTAAACATTTTTGTTATTTGGTCCTATGATTTTAAAATTCAACACAATCCTTTGGGACTGAAAGTGTAACAAAATTTAAAATTTCAAAACTTAAATTGGTAACAAAAAATCTTTTGGATGAATTTTTTTTTTAGCAATTTAAGTCCTGTAATTTAAATTTTCTGTTGCAGCAAAATACTAAATTACAGTATTAAAAGACGAAAATGTTGAAATCTTGAGACAAAAAATGCTTCAGTGTTAAACAAGCAGGACTAAAAATGCAATTTTGACTGTAGATTCAGATGTAACGATATTATAACATATATATATATATTATAATTTTTGTTTATACATCTGTGTATTTAATTTATATTTTTTTGTATAAAATATAATAATATTTATCATAATTTAAAAGTCCACATAGAATTTGAATAATTTCTAACCAAAAGAATCATTATTAAACTTAAAAAGCAACGAAATTTATTATGTTAATTATGAAATCCAAAAAGAATCTTCTGCAAGTAAGAAGATAACAGTTGACTCTATAGTGGAACTAATCTTTTATATACAATAAATAAATCATACTATATTAATAAAATTATATTAATATTACTCAAATAATAAAAGAATGTAATAGATTTACTTGTTGTATATAGAAGATTAGTTTCATAGCAAAACCGTTCACTAATATATTGTAAAAAAAAAAAGTTCATGAATTGATATAAGGACAAAATCACGGGCACACAATTGTTAGTTAACGGGCGCGATGCGCGGCACCGTATTCCTGAGGACACGTGGCGTGGTGTGAATGGTGTTAATGTTTCATCACTCATACGTAGCTAATAATTTCTTTTCTTTTTTTTTTTCACAATGATTTACCACTCGACTTATCAGGACAATATTTGAATTAATGATTTTAACAATATTGGAGTGATAACTGATAAGATAACATATCTAGTGTTGTAAAACCATCTCTAATCGATAAACGAATTCTTAAACTTATTTTGTAGTAACTATCACATGAAACAATAATTCATTTGCAACTAAAAAATTCATTCTCTAATTGTAAAGAATGTTCTCAAAATATTACATTACACATAAACTTTACAAATTTTCAATACTAACTACATATTTTAACAATTTTATAAATTAGACCCTTAATTATTTGATATTCGATTTAAAAAATTATAATTAATTGTAAATTAGGAATATGTATTAATAAAAAATATTGAATAAATATTTTTTCAGTAAGTAAAAAGTTACATTTTTTGTTATCTTAAATTTTAATAATATTTTTAAAAGGTTATATTATTTGAATTTATTATCAATATTGATATAGGATATTATCTGTATAAGGACGAACCGATTTGGTGAGCCGGTCGAG